CGGGGCGCCCGCGCTCACCTGCCAGTGCTTGGTGACCGCGTTCCACACGCCGATCTTGCCCGTGTGGCTCGTGGCGATGAGCTGGTTGCCCACGAAGAAGAGGGCTTCCACGGGGACGCCCAGGACGAAGACGCCTGCGAGGGCGCCCGGCGTGGGTGACACCTCGCGGGAAACGGGGGCACCCCAACCTCCGGGCTCCGGAGGCCGGGCTCCGCTCACCGATCTCGCTGCCGTTGCCGTCGGCCTGCAGCGCCCACAGGATGATCTCGCTGCTCGACGCCACGGCCACCATCCTGTCGTGGTCGCCCGCGGGGCCGCCGGGCACCTTGGCGTTGAGGGCCACGCGCTCGATGAGCCAGTCGAGGCGCGGGCTGCAGAAGGCCAGCTGCCAGCCCGACGTCTCCTTCATCCTGCGGGCACGCGGGCGAGGAAGCGGCGCGCCGGGGCGCCGGGGGCACGCCGGAGCGCTCCGCTACCTGTAGCACACCAGGAACTGCGCGTAGGCCACGGCGATCCAGTTGTGGTGGCCGCACACGAGGCGCACGGCGCCCGGCTCGCCGGGCCCCGCGCCCGCCGCCCGCTCCTCCAGCAGCCGCCCCAGCAGCCCCGCGTTGCCCAGGTTGGGGGGCATGGTGTTGCTGCGGCGCACGGGCGCGCGCTCGGCGCCCGCCGCCCGCTGCGCTCCCGCCACGCTGTGCCGGTTGCGGCGCTTCGCCGGGATCACTGCGGGCGGCAGCCGCTGCAGCCTCCGGAGCGGCCTCCGCGCGCGGGGAGGCCGCCGGGGGCTCCGCGGCGGCTCCTACCTGGCGGCGGCAGGTAGCCGTTGAAGAGGACGCTGCCGCAGGACGAGCGCTCCAGCTCCTCGCGCAGCTGCAGCCGCCGCACTGCGCGGGCACGGCGGTGCAGGGAGCCGTGAGCGCGCCCGCCGGGGCCGCCCATGGCCCCGCCGGTGGCGTGGGGAGCCCCGTGCCCCCCGGTGCCACGGGGGACCCCCGCGTGCCGCAGGGAGCCCCGTGCCCCCCAGTGCCGTAGGGAGCCTGCTCCAGGTCCCCTCAGTGCCATAAGGAGCTGCATCCCCGCCGGTGCCACAGGGGACCCCCGGGTGCCGCAGGGAGCCCCGTGCCCCCCGGTGCCGTAGGGAGCCAGGTCCAGGTCCCCCCAGTGCCGCAGGGAGCCTGGTCCTGTGGGTGACCCCCCGGTGCCGCGGGGGGCCGGGTCCCCCCGGTCCTGCCGTCTCCCCCCCCGGTGTCGCGGGGAGCTGGGTCCCCCCGGTCCTGTGGGTGTCCCCCCGGTGCCGCGGGGAGCCGCGTCCCCCCGGTCCTGTGGGTGACCCCCCGGTGCCGCGGGGAGCCGGGTCCCCCTGGTCCTGTGGGTGATCCCCCGGTGCCGCGGGGGGCCGGGTCCCCCTCCCTGCCATTCCCCCCCGGTGCCGCGGGGGGCCGGGTCCCCCCGGTCCTGCCGTCTCCCCCCCGGTGCTGCGGGGGACCGGGTCCCCCACCCTGCCATTCCCCCCCGGTGCTGCGGGGAACCGGGTCCCCCACCCTGCCATTCCCCCCCGGTGCCGCGGGGGGCCGGGTCCCCCACCCTGCCATTCCCCCCCGGTGCCGCCCGGCGTCACCTAAGGGCGCGATGCCGTAGAACTGCGCCTCGTGCAGCAGCAGCGAGGCGCTCACGCCGCGCGCGTCCAGCTCCTTGGTGCGCAGGAAGTTGAGGATGGGCGCGAAGACCGTGGGGTCGCGGTCGATGAAGATCTGGGGGGGGGACACACATTGATGCCCCCCCGCCCTGGGCATTCCCAGGGGAAAAGCTCCGGGCCGGCTCTGCCGTCGGACTCACTGCTCCCGTCTCATCCTTCAAGGTGGAGATGCGGCCGCTGAGGAGGCTGCGGGGTGAATAGAGAGGATGGGGGGGTCACACACGGAGCCCCCCCCCGGCTCCGGCAGTGCCAGGAGTTATCCCGGGAATCCCGGAGCTGCCGCCAGCGGGGGCTTTTCCCGGGAATTGCGGCTCCGGGAGTGAACCCGTTCCCTGGGATTAAACCCCCCCCGGCCGGGATTGAGCCCCCCCTCCCCGGAGCCGCCTCCACGTGGCACGCGGGGGGGCAGGGACATGGGGGGGGTCCCCCGGCCGTGTCACCTGGAGAAGAAGGAGTCCGGGATCCAGGTGAGCGTCTGCCGGGAGGTGCTGAACCTGGAGCGGGGATGTGGGTCACCGCGGGCCCG